AAGGTCTCACACAGCTCTGAGAGCCTTCTATGCTGTTACTTATACATGAAAAACAGAAATCGGTATCAAAGTTTAAAACCACCTAAATGGGACACCAGGAAGTTCCAGGCCTCTGTCCAGACACTGATTTTCCAGGCTGCAAATCCAAGGGGTTTGGCCAACAGTAAATACTCCCTGTATCAGCCACCACAGGCTCCTGTGCAGGGTGGGAACAAGCCCCTGGCTCGGGGCTGCCCTGGGCCCACATGCTGACTCTGGTAGGAAGGGACACTGAAAAGGGGCCCAGCATTGTTTCCATGGAAAAAACGTGGAATCTAATTCCCAGGGTGATTAACTTCATCCACCCCTCTCAAAGAACCATCAGATTCTGTTTTGTTCCCCAAACATGACCCCATGAAGCCTGAGGAAGCCCATCCCAATGAGACCCTGGGAATGGTTCCTACCAGAGAAGCTCTCAGGAGCTGGAGGGAACTGAGGTCCTGCTATTCCACATGTCCCCTCCACATTGTCCTGCTGTCCCCTGTCCCCCTAAAACTCCAAGACTGTGGCTGTTGTCACCTTTCAGCACCCAGAGCCCTGGGTCAGGTGGCTGAGTAAAGCTCCTACCAATGCACCAGGTCACCTGGCCCCCCAGCCTGGTGTATTCCTGTAGTTGGTACTACAGCTTGTACATACACACACCCCAGCCCTGGCTCACCCACAGCATCCCCATCAGACCATGGCATGGCAGAAATAATCCAGGTGCTCTGGAGGGTTAAAACACCCTGGATTAATGGGAAGCAAACAGACTTGCAGGCCCAGAGCGAGCAGAAAATCTGGATAACGAGCAGAAAATCTGGATAACGAGCAGAAACGCAGGATAAGAAATCCCTCATCAGTTATTTATGTGTCTGCTCCTTCCCAGGTTTCTCAGTAACTCACACAGAAACCTGGAAACCTCCCCATAGCCCAGAGGGTGGGAAAATCTTAAACCAAGAGGGAACACAGGATAAAAGACGGGCAGGTTTGGGAGTTTAGCCAAGAGCAGTGGGATTGGAGATGTGGGCAGCACACCAGAGGTGGGACAGGCTCAGCCACCACAGCTCCAAGGACCTCCAGAGCTCCAGCACCAGGAGAACCACGGGAGTGGCTCAAAGGATCGTGGCAAGGAACGGGAAAAGGTGTGAAGTCCAAAGACATCCTGCCTAAGGAGAACAGGGCTGCCCAGGGTAAAGCATGAGGCACTGGGGCAGCAAACACCTCGTGCCTGGCCTGCATCCCTCTGGCACTTCCCAGCTCCCTGGCGGGCAGGTGAAGCCAGAGACCTTCCTCAGGGGTCAGGACTAATGGACAGCAGTGTCTGTGGATGGACAGACACACAGCAGGCAGCCCTGGCCAGGCAGGGCCCGGGCACAAGCTGAGCTCTCACCTCTGCCCGTAGTAGCTCTCGAAGAAGTGCTCCTTCCACAGCTCCACCTTCTTCTCCTTCTCGATCTCCTGCCGGATCCGGAGCTGCATCTCCGGGGTGAACTCGCCTGGGGTGCCAGAGGGGGGTTGTCAGAGCCAGGAAAGGGTGGATGGGCCAGGCCCAGCCCAGAGCCCTCACCCCCCAGGACAGCCCTGTCCCAGGAGCCCCAGCCCAGAGCCCTCACCCCCCAGGACAGCCCTGTCCCAGGAGCCCCNCCAGAACTGCTCCAGCTGGGCAGCAAAACCTCTCCCTCTCCTCTGAGGCAAGAGCCACTGGGTCAGTTTGCTTTGCAGCCAGCACAGTCTGCAAATTGGATCCTCCCGGGGCTGTCCCGGGCAGGAGGGGCTGTGTCTGCCCAGGATTACACTGCTGGGACCTCCTTCACGCCCAGACAAGGACAGAGTTACTCAGAATTCCAGGACACGAGCTGGAAGGGGGAAGTGGTGGGAACACACACAGCCTGGGGTATTCCTGGGCTACAACCACCAACAACATGAGATGCTCGCAGAGCAATTTCGTGCAGTTTTCTTGAGATTTCAGTTTTAGATTAAAAAAATTGAGTTTATTTCTAATCCCTAAATCCTCTCCACAGGATGGCTGAGCAGTGATGTGGAATCAGACAGAGGGGGGGCCACTGCTCTGCAATGAATTTAAGATGAGCAAATCCCAGACCAAGTGATGCTGCAGCTCCTGCTCCGGGGGCAGCTGCACTCGCAGGGCAGGGAAGGAAACACTCCTGCTACCACAGGGTTTAGTTTGCAACTCCCTTTTCCTTACCATCACCAAATAAATCACAGAACCATGGAATATCCTGAGCTGGAAGGACCATCACGTCCAACCCCTGGCCCTGCACAGACACCCCAACAATCCCACCCTGTGCCTCCAAACGCTCCTGGAGCTCTGGCAGTTTGGGCAGTGCCTGCTCCTTAAAAAACCTCCCAGACAATTATTTCTGCTCCTCCCAGCACGTGCCAGGTTCCCGGGGGGAGAAGGGAAGGGGAAGCAGTAGTACAGCCAAGGGAGAGGAAAGGAGGGCTGAGGACCCCGTGCACCACACAGCCGTCCCACTGCCGTGGGAATATTGCTTCAGCTTTAAAAGGCCTTTGGATTCAAAGTGAATTCAGTGCTTTTCCATCAAAAACATACCCAGCTCTGTTCCCTGACCAGGAGGCAGGCAGGGACAGTGTGGGACTGGACGGGCCCACGGGCCTGGTGGTCTCTGAACAGCCCTGGTGTGACGAGTGCCCCCTGTGAGCCCGTCCTCAGCTCCCGGGGGAACGCGGGGCCACTGCGGGGCTGCCTCAGTTTCCATCCTCCAGCGGAAGGAATCCAGGAATGCACAGTGAGGATGAGCATCCCCAGCTGTGTCTGGCCCTGTCAGGCACAAGGGGCAGGGGCAGCCCCATCCCCAGCCCATCCTTCCCCTCAGCTGAGCCCAACCCGAGCTGAGCCGAGCCTGGTTTGGTTCTTCAAACACAGAGAGCTGCCCAGAGAGGCCCAACCAGACACTCACTGCCTTTCCCTACACGGAATAAACACAGAAACTTGGAGAGAAACTGGAGATGTCTGACCACGGGGGGGTTTGGAGGAGCACAAAACGCTTCCCAGAACGTGGCAGGTCCGAGGGTGACGCTTTGTGCCCCTCACCTGCCCCCGTGTCCCTGGGCTGCAGGAGGGCACCTCCCAGCTCACTGGGAGTGCCCAGGAGAGCAGATTCCTGCCCGGTCCTGGCAGTCCCAGCACAGCTGTGTGAGCTCTGCTCTCAGTGGTTCAAGGGGGCACCGACAATCCCAGTTCCTGAGCTGTTCCAGGGACTCTGGGCCCCACGGCCGGGACAGTTCCTTCTTTCAGGTTGCCCAGTCACACCCCCAGACACCACCTCCCTCACAATGTGGTGACTGGAAGTGCCCCCTGGGAGAGGATTTGCAGCTCAGAAACCCCAGCCCATATTGCACAGCCCAGGAGCCTCCTGGGAACAGCCAGGTCACGGGGGGGGAAGGCAATGACTGGAAAGGCTGGCACGACACTGGTAGTGCCTTCCAATTCCCAAAGATTTGAACCAGAGGGCAGCCAAGGGAGCCCTCTCAGGGCTCTGTCCCCGGTCAGCACACATGGATGGATTGGGATTATCCCGCTCTCCTCCTTGCCAGGAGAAGACCAACCACAGGCTACGGGTTGGAGCCCCCGCGTCGAGCAGAGCTCAGCAAACACGCTCAGAGCGGGCTGGGGTTACTGACACTGCAGCACAAGTCAAACACTACCTCCTAAAAGATTGAAAAAATATCTTTAAACAAAATAATGTGACATATTTACATAATTCCTTAAGTGCAAACTCTTGTCACAATTCACGCAGTCGAGCGCGATCTCGACTCCCTGTACAAGAAGGTGCTCTTTCGTTAATGAAAGAAGGACTCTACTCTGTTTTCCTGATTCAGTAACGTGTCTCTTGTGCAAGGCAGTAAAATTCCTGTTTCTTCCCAACATAGTTCCGAAAGCAAACCCTAAATGGAGCCATCCTCTCCCCCACGTGCCGTCCCGGTTACCGCACGACGAGGCAGGAGACGCAGAGCTTGGAGGGGCCGATGCAGTCATCGTGGCAGAAGGCCCCGCAGCCCTTGCACATGATCATGGCTTTCAACCTGCAGTAACATTTGGAAGGGGGGTCCTCCACGCCGCCGTCCTCGGCGAAGGCCTGCACCGGGAGGGGCTGCCCGTGCCCGCCGGAGCTCACGGCCTGGCCGGCGGGGATGGTGGTGACGGTCACGGAGAAGGACATGACGTTCCCCATGGAACTGGCCAGCTGGTTGCACTCGGACAGCCCCGTGATGAGCGAGCCCTGGCTCACGTCGGGCGAGGTGGAGACGTTTATGGTGCCGCTGTAGCTGGGCCCCAGGAGCTGCGCCCCGGCAGAGCCCTTCGGGGGGTGCGGGGCGGGGAGCAGCGGGGGCTGCGCCGAGTCCGGGGACGGGGCGGGAGGCGCGAAGAGCTCGGGGCTGCTGTGCATCCTCCCCCTCATGGCGTGTGCCATCTGCTCCTGCGCGGCCTGCAGCAGGTCCCGGGCCAGCGCGGTGCCGTCCAGCGCCGCAGTGCTCTCCTTGGTGCCGGCTGCCGGCGCTGCCGGGGCTGCCTCGGCCTTCCCAGCCCTCGTCCCCAGGGAGCCGGGACCCACGGGGCTGGTGCTGTGGGATCCCCGCTCCCTCTCACACTGACCGGACGCCTGCGGCTCCTCCTTGACGCCCGAGTGCTCCCGCTCGTCGCCGGTGCTCTCGTCATCCGCGTCCTCCTCGCTGCTGCTGCCCGGGCCGGCCCCCTCCTCGCACTCCCCAAACTCTGCCCTGGGACCCTCCGCGGGACTGCTCAGCCCCAGGCGGAGTTCGGGGTTCAAGGAGAAGCCTCTCCTCAAACTCTCCGAGCCACGGCCGTAGGTGGAGATGTTGAGCAGGTAATGACCAGACATGGCAGGCTTGGACGTCCTCCTGCCCGTGAAGCCCAGCATGAATCTCTGGCTGGTGGAACTGTTCTCCACTGGGAAACCTGAGTGTGGGAGGTTCAGCTGCGAGGGCTGAAGGACGGGCAACAAATTCTGCCTCTGCACCCTCTTGATGAGGGTCTGGAGGATCTGCTCCTGGGTCGCCTTGCTCAGCGCCTCGTGGCACTGGTGCTGCTCATGGCCGGGCTCCTTTCCCGAGGGGAGCGGGAAGGTCCTTGGAATGTGAGGCAGAGGCCTGTTCTGGCAGAAGATCTTCCCGAGCTGCTGTGAGGGCAAACCCGACGGTGCCTCGGCCCCGGCGCCGTTCCCCACCGCACTGGGAGGAGCCGCTGCCCCTTTCTCTTCCCGAGGAGCCAAGGGCACCGCTTTCATCTCTGCTTTGGTGAGCGGCTTCGGCAGGATCTGCTCCAGAGGGACGCTCTTGCCTTGGAGCAGCTGGGTGACCAAAGGGTTGTTGGCAGGAATACTGGAGCTGGCTTTGGGCAGGGCCCCGCCCGGGGGGGTTTTAAGGCCGGGTGCTGCTGAGGGAGCGCCGCAGGGCGGGACGGGGGCAGGAGCACCCACAGCTCCAGCCTGGG